TTATAGACAATTAGGCCCGCTAAAACTGTAGAATTTAAATTATTCTTGTATTAAATTTGCTGACATATAACCATCTCTTACTGTTCTATCTGTTGCTGTTGTTTCTTTTGTACCTACTTCAGGTAGTATAATACAAAACTGCTTAAACTGTCGAACAAAATTAATTAACCATTGATTATTTGTTAAAATAGATCAACAAACCGAAATCGATTCGAATCCAAGTCATTTTTTATGTGCTTCGTGTGCGCCAAGGTATTATTACAGAGGCGGTGGCACGAGACATTTTATGGAAGATCTACCCCCCCCCCCATTTTTTTAAATCTATACCCTCTGAAACGCTTTTTCCTGTATTATGACAGTCAAATTATGCTAACATTAATAACATAATATAACACAAAGGATTTTAGCGTGATTTCGGGGGGGGGGCGACGCCCAAACATTTTTTAGAGGCCACCAACCCCTCCCCCCGGTGCCATTGATACGCCAAATTTCGACGCGCAAATAGAATGTCAAGTTATAGATTCCGGGCATCTATATTCGGCTTTTAAGCAAGCTTTTTTTTTATAAAATGAAAATAATGTATATGTTTTGTGGTGATTAGATGGCAGGTATGGTTATAACACCGGAAACAGTTTTCAATTATGCAAAGATTATTTATTGCCGTCTACGCAAATTGCCGCTTACGACAAACGCATGACAACTATTACAGTCGTCACCGCGCGTTTTTAGAGATGGGTCTTATTTGATGTGTACAACGCATGTGAAATACTTGTTTGTTTATGCGCCATTTAAATATACTGCGTGGCAACTTGAGTGATTTAACTGTCAATTAGTATTGCTATACTAAAATGAAACACATGAAAAGTTAACCATAATCATACACTTACAGCACGGGCAGAAAAAACGTACTTCGTAGTCGGCACACCCTTTTGATTTCTGGTCCTTGTTAAAGCACAACAAACCTATGTCCGGCAAACACGTTACTTTCGTCTGGTCAGGCATTTCGTAGTAAAACAGAGGGGAGCCGACTTCTTTGCACTCAATATATGTAGGAGTTTCACAAACACCGTACATCTCAATCATATCTGCCAGCAGTTCGTAGTCGCCTCCTGATCGAGACGACTGTGGATCACTCATGTCAAACCATTCTGTCCATTTTCCGTCGGGACAGAGCGATCCTGAAGATTGGTCAGTCTGTGAGATTATTGGTATAACTGAAAGATGATAAAAACTCTCGTTCCACAGTGTCTTGTACAGTGGGCTTCATAAGGTGCCTGGCTACAATTTAATCATGTGGTAATTGATATGCTGTTGTCCAGAAAACACATGCAATTATATTGTCAGTAAATTATACCTCTCCCAGCTGGAGATTTCTGCTTATAAAAATATCTGCTCAGAACTAGTGACAAAAAGGGAATTTATTGGTTTAATGTAGGTTTAGAACGTGCTATAATCCCCTAGGAAGAGTTGTAAGAAAAAAATCATACGTGAACAATTCAATATTGGTTTCTATGGTAACAAGTTCTCATATCTTACAATTGTAATCGGTTATAGGATATCGTATTTT